TTTCATACATGCTTTCCTGAAGAAAAACGCTGGGGTTTATTCCTTTTTTGATAATAAGGACTGATGGCAGATGCATGGCATTTCTTTTAAAGATACAAGTTTTAAACTTCACAGTTAGTGACAAGCACACTCAATCAAGTCTGCAAACTGCTTTTAGCTGCTACAATACACCTTTAGTTAAAGGAAATATTGGTGAAGCTGTAATATGTCCAGTCACAAAACAGAGGTGCAATAGGATCTCTGGTCCCAGCGTCCTCCATGTGAAGCTCAGAGGAAAGCCAAATCCTAACCTGTCATCCCCATCTGACCAGAACCTGCATGCTTTTCCTGGCATTTCCCAGAACAAATACATCACCTACTGTTTGGGCTAAACTTTTGTCATTTTCCAGAAATTCTTAGGAATGCCAGAACCAGAAAGCCCTTAGGCATGTAAGTAGCATCAAGAAGTCAGTTAACAACCTGAGTTTGAGTGTCAGCAGTAAGACTTTATTTCAGGCGTTCTCTTCAGTAATTTAAGATATCTTGTGTTGTCCAATATACTCCCTCATCAGTGAACTATTCCATTTTCTGGTATGCTCGTATAGATTTCCCTTGGAAGTGTTGGCAGTAGGCTCAAACTAGTTCTGTAGCTAAGGAAAGAGAGATCAAAAACCATTCCACTCTTTTCATTCATTTCCTTTTGCCACTATCAGCAAACACAATGAAATGGGAGTTTCTGTGGCTTTAGGCTGCTGCTCAGTAGAAAATTGCCAGCACTTTGGGTAAATCTTCGGGTTGCATTGGTGGTTTCCTCTGGCTGCCAGGCTGCAGGAATTTCTTTATTGTGGGGATATTGCTTATTCTTGCTTTAAAACGCTACAAAACAAAACCAAAACAGCACTGTGCTTAAGCAGCATTGTAACTGTCAGACATTTTGATGTTATCCAACCTCTAAAAGTAACATCATGCATTGATGCAGCAGAAGAAGCTACAGGCTTCCCTCTATTATGCGTTTGTGGCTGCAAAGTCAGAAGGTGGCCATACCCAGCAGTGTTTGAGGCCAGCTAAAACTACTTAGGATATTTGATAATTTTGTAGGTCACTTCTCTCCTCACCCTCCCATTCTCCCCTGTTTCTCAGCCAGTTTAAATCAGCGGTCCTTTCCAATTCATTGTCCATTAAAACTGTCCATTCATTTACCTGCAAGAGAGGAAATTTGGCAAGTATATCAGGCTTGAACTCTTCTGCCATTAAAATGATTTCAAGTAACTGCACATCTGCCCTGCTTAACTGGTTGCCAACAAGAAAGTCTTGTCCATGGTCTTTCAAAACCTAAAAAGAGAGAAGCAGATGATTTTTTTCTCTCTGTTGCTTAATATGGGATCTTCAAAGCAAGGTCACACACTGCACAGAGTTGTCCTTGAAAGAAGGAAATGCAGAACAAACACCTGTAGCACAAACAAATCTAGCCATGATTTACCAGTCCCTTCTTTTCTGCATTTCTTTCTGCCAGCTCAGCTGTTCTGGAGCTTAAGTAGTCGATGCCACTGCACTGAATGCTAAGCTTCATGAGATACAGGAGGAGCTGCTTTTACACAGATTGTGTGGCAGAGGGGCATCTGCACTTCAGGAGGAAACTTTATGTAAAAGCTGATGCTGTAGTTTCTTTTGGCTGAAACAACAGACAGACCAAAACATGGACGTTTGTGGAGCTCAGTGTGTCCTGGGTTTTTGCAGCTTTATGGGTCTCCCAGATTTGCAGTGCCTTCTGTCCCCTCTGTAGTGTCCTGTCTCCATCCTCATCCCCGCCCCATCAAACACAGAGCAGTTATCTCCAAGTGTTTTCCTCAATAAAAATTGTTGGTGTAGATCCAGGATGGAGTTTCCAGACAACAGTATTGATTAAGCTACATCTTTGCCACACACCTTCTCAAAGGCTGGGAAGTATCTGTTTGCGGCCTTGTCCAACATGTTGGTAAAATGTTGCTCCTTTTTATCCGCTGGTTGGGCTACAGAGTGCATGAATAACTCATTCAGATCAAACATTCCTTCCACATACATATCGATTCTGAAAAGAATAGATCCAGTTGGTCAAGACAAACACAGTAGATCTAAGTACCACAACCTCCACCTTTTCTATCTCACATCTATAGCTTGGAGTAGTTCCCTCCAGAATGCAGTTGCATCAAGGGACAGGGGAGGTGCTTGGGTGGAAGACAAATGCAAAGTGCCTAATCCACCCCTAAACACTGTCCCCCTTCCACTTCTCACTGGGGTTGATACTTCTCTATACTATGTTTTTTTTTGAACCTGAGTACAAAACTGGCAGGTGTGTCATCCAAACTTGTGTTAGAAATCCAATCAGTAAATGAAACAGTGGGTTTTTGCAATTCCTAACAAGTACCTTGGCATTTGCTTTCCAGTGCTTATTAATTTGAAGCATTTAAAAATACCTCATGTCAAACCATGTGCCCTAAGAGTTCTGTTGTTAAAGAACCAGTTACTAATCCTAACTCAATTCTAAATACTGGCTGTTAGAAGGTAGGAGGTTTTTGTCTCCCTGTGTCTGATGTGGTGAAAATGCCTGTTGTGACATTCTGCAGGAGAAATTGAACTGGAGCAACAGGGAGACAGTCTGCACTCCTGACTGCCTTCTTCTGAGAACTGTATTGCCCCTGGATTGATTGATGACTGATGAGCTGCCTTGCACCATGCTGCCCATCTAATCTAGCTGGCTATCACTGCCCTAGACATCACCTGCAGTCACAGTCTA